GCAGCAGCAGCACAGGCCTCTTGACTGTCCTCATGCTGTGACTACGAATTACTGCTGCTGCTGAGTCCACCGACTGTTCGAGTGAGCCTTGCTGCCCCTTTCTGTACGTTGGGGCGGACAAATCGATCAAGCGCGTTCTGCATGGGCCGACGAGGGCTCACCCAAGTCGATGCAGCTCTTCTGTATGCTCACTCTCGACACATCGTACCTACGCGCGCGCGTTGGAGCGCCGCACTCAACTGCGACGCGCAGCTGCTGAGGGGGAACAACTTCAGTCTCGCCTCCGTGGCGTCTGCGTGAGCGCGCTTGCGGCGAGTCTCCCTCGCGGTCGAAATTGCCGACGCGCGCGGCAGGTGATGGGATGATGGGCGCGCGACTCCGAGAGCGCGCCGAACCGAGATGTGGGGCAGCGAAAGCCACATGGCCGTCATTCAGGTGATTGGGCTGACGCACACCCCCAGTGGGACGCATAGATGTCTGGCATGCTTCAAAGCAACTCTGTGCCGCCCACACGCAAACGCGAGTTATTGTAAGTCGGTCGTCGCGAGCAAAGAGTCCCGTGACCATACGCCTGCATGCACCATGCAGCTCGGCAAATTCTGTCAATAATTACATTTTGATTATACGGCGCATTTTGGTACGTTCAGCATGTACAGTATGTATGCCGTGTCACCGAATCAAGAATAATCTAAAATACTGATCGCGCGTATCTCCGTGGAGAGTCTTGAAAGTGCCCAGCAGGCGCTCCTAATTCATAGAATCACGAACTGAATAAAGAAATATTTGCCAAGCACATCAATTTGGTCTTGCCTAAAGACGCCTATAGCTTTGTAATCTCTCCCCACTTCGATCTATCCGGTGGTCTGCTTCCCTATTTCAAGCGCGAGGCTCACTTCATCATGGCGGACGCAATCTCAGCGCCATCCACAGGCAAGACGGCCATCATCTTCGGAGCGACAGGAGCTGTGGGGACACCTTTGCTCGAGACGTTGCTGCAATCCCCCACCTTTGACAAGATCCACTCCTTTCAGCGTCGCGCTACCGATGGACCTCCCAACTCCAAGCTCATCACTCACACCGTCGACTTTGACAAGCTGGTGGCAAAGGATGAAGAAGAGGTGAAGCGAGTCAAGGAGATTGCGGCAGATGCCGTCTTCATCACTCGTGAGTGAGACCTTTCAGCGGCGGATCATCGACGGGGAATGATATGTGTCGAGCTGAAACGAAACAATCACGACGCACCTCTCAGTCGGAACGACACGCGGAGCGGCAGGATCTGCTCAGGCTTTCGAGAAGATTGACAAGGACTACGTCTTGGCTGCTGCTCGCGCTGCTGCCAGTCCAGAAAAAGCTTCCAGCAACAAGGTGGTGTACTGCTCCTCTCAAATGGCCAATTCGGGTAGCAGATTCTTGTACACTCGGTGAGTAGCATCTGCTCATCTGCTCATCTGCTCACCTCCTCAGAGCTGTGCTCGCGCCGAACTCTGACGAGGCTTGAACCCTACTGTCTCAGCTCCAAAGGAGAGACGGAAGAGGGACTCGCCAGCGCTGGGTATTCCGAGACGATCTTGTTCAGACCGGGCTTCCTCGCGCAAGCTCAGAGGCCCAAGACGAGACCTCTGGAAGTTGTATACGGTGTGAGTGCAGTGTACAGGTTAAAGCGCATGTTTCCTTCCGACCGTCTGACACCGTAGCTCTCATCTTGCGTAGGCCCTTACTGGCAAGGTGCTCTCCCGCTTCAGTGACGGGGCCGAGATCCCGGTGCCTATCCTAGCGCGAGCAATGCGCTTCGCAGGTGAAGCGGGAGCTTCAAATCTTATTGCCAAAGGGGTCGGAAGCCCACCCGTAGAGGCTTTCAAGCGGCCTGCTGGCTCAGCTGTCACGGTGCTGACGAACGGAGAAGCTTTGCGCCTCGGAAAGTCCTTGCTGTAAATGATAGGACTAGACTGTGCAGCCAAAGGCAACATCTCGTAATACCCAGACACTTGGTCACGCCGTTGACCTTTCCAGCTGTATTCAGCAATGCTGTGACCTCTGATACCACATGCTGTGACCTCTGATACCACAATGCGACGTCTCAGGAGCCGAAGCGACCACCCGATCGAGCTGGTTCTCACGCCCGCCGATACTCATTATGTGATTCACATATCCTCGAAGACTGCCAAAGAGCAATCTAGCGCCCATGATCCATTCACTCTAGTGGTGCCAGACATGAAGCAGATCTGGTGCAAGGACATCGATTGCAGTCTTGTAACTGAATGCGGATGATGTTCACCCGGAGAAGCGTGACAGATTGCGGGACGCGACAGTAGAGGGAGAGAGGGATGACCAAGACGGATGGCGAGGTGCGCGATACTGAGGTAAGCGACGTCACGCGGGGTGAAAGAGGTTTTTGGTAAAAGCGAATGATTGAAGAGGATGATGCGTTTCGATAGATGCATAGTCATTTTGGGGCATAGCTGTGGTCGAGAGTTGCAGATCAAGCTAAGTGGGTCTTTCGTTGACAAAGGAGGACTCGATGCGAGGTCTGAGTCATGGCATGTTTTCGTTGTAGGCCCTGAATTTCAAAGCAACGTTTCGATACTTGTGCTGATAAGGAGTATCGTTGCCGTTTGTCTGCTGTTTTGCGCCAAGTCAGACGTCCTCGCTCGGCGTGCCAGGGGACAAATTCGGCAATTTTTACTTTATCCAGATTGAGCAGCCGTCGCTCCCCCGCGCCCGCGGGACGGTCCACCCCTTCCTCGGCCGCGGAAGCCACCACGATCACCTCCTTGTCCAGTACCGCGAATCGGACCACGGTTGGTGGGAGGAGGTCTGTCGCCTACCTTGCGTTTCTCCTCCACAGTGACTGTCCAGCCGTTGTTCCCCACAGGCACACCGCCCTGTCCTCCTTCCGACACGCGAACGCTCATGGCGATGGCACGACGTGCCTGCTCTGCGCTGACAAACTCTCCAAAAGCGCATGCTCGCGAAGCGATGATCTGGCACTCCTTCATGGGTCCGAATTGCTTCTCCAACGCAGCTTGCAATCCCTCCTCGGGCATCTGATCCATGATCACGTTCTTGATGAAGACACCTCCATGGATCTGCGGAGCAGAGGTACCAGAGGTGCCAGGCTGCTGTCCAGAAGTTCGGGCGCCATTCGCAGCCTGAGGTCGGGCGTTGTTGGCCGCGGCGGTGGCAGGGGTGGATACGTTGGCAGGAGTTCGAGAGGTGGAGACACCGCGGCTCTCCGAAGCGGTCGAGCCCCATCCTTTGACGTTGGCTGCAGCGAGATTGGCCCAGGTCTTCGGTGCGGAAGGCGCAGCAGGCTTAGTCTCCGCAGGCTCAGGCTCCGTCTGTTGTTCGATGGGAGCGTTCCCTTCCGGCTGTTCCTGCTGAGCTTCAGCGGCAGCAACGCCAGCCGGCTGGACGGGTGCGTCCTCGGCTTCGACGGTGGCCACCTTAGAGTCTATACCTACCTCTGCCCCCGCTCCCTCGGCAGGTGGAGGGGCCGGGGCAGCGCCAGCCTCGTCAGTGTCCGGAGCAACTGCAGGAGCAGCAGCATCAGCAGCGACAGCCGCCACTTCAGCTTCTACTTCGCCAGCGGGCTCGGAAACTGCCGCTGCTGGGGCAGGGATCGGCGCATCTCCGGGCGATTGCTGAGCAGCCTCCTCGGCAGGAGCAGCAGAGACGGCGCCGTTGGGAGCAGCAACAGCATCGGCTTCCTCGGGCGCGACGTCATCGCGAGCATCATCGTCCTCGCTGAGGAAACGGAATATGTCGTTCAGGACGTAGTAGCCATTGGGTTGCTCCGCTAGAAAGAAAGTCTGAGCGAACTTGCGCCACGGCCCCTTTTTGTTGGATAGCTCGCCTAGAACCTGAATGACAATGCCGCCGGAGATGGAAGACTGAGAGTCGACGTTGGACACGTAGACTTTGCAGTCCTCGAAACCTAAGGAAGAGATTTTGTTGTGAATTTCCTGAGATGATGGTGTGGTCGATGTCAGTGCTTTGATACTGCTTGAACCTCGTCACCAACATAGCAGAGTGCGCGTTCGTCCACAAGGTAGCGCTCTTACCATGCCAGGTGTGGCAAGGATGCTCCCAAGGTAGACAGTTGCTGTCTCCACAGGTCGCGTGCAGCGTCGCACGACACTGAAACACTCACTTGTTGTCCAAAGCAAGGCTGCACCTCCTCAAGCTCATTCCCGTGAATGAGTGTACTCTTCTTGGTGTAGAAGCAGTGCAAGCGTTCCGGATTCTGGTTCAGAAAGGTGTAGTATTGAGGGACAAAGAGCCAGCCAACTTCGGAAGGCTGAACGGTCTGCTTGGTACCCGAAGAGGCAGGCGCGGCAGCACCACCTGCTGGTGCCCCATTACCGGCGCTGCCATTGGCGACAGCGGTGGAGGAAGACATGATGTTGTGCTGAGAATAAGCCGTGAATATGCTGGGAAGAGGTTTCGAACGCGCAGGCGCCAAGGTCAGCGCACTTTTGCAGCTGCGATCCAGACATGACAAACACTGCACTCACCCACGACGTTGTTTGTGACTAGCAAAGGCTCGAGTGCAATGCGATGCGGTGGGAAGCTGATGAGAATGTGACGGCGTCAGAAGAATGAGAAGCAGGTGTATGCGTGAGTCTGCAACGGCTTGTCGGCTGTTGAGCTTTTGGTGG